ATGCACCTTTCAACCGAGTTTATTTTTCTTGGTTATTTTACTGCAATGTATGAGATATGATCATGATAGCCCCTGAGTTCAATATTGCACAAAAATTAACAAACAACAAGTGTAGATCATTATGAGAAACACTTTAGGATACTATTAGACAATCCTTTACAAATCATAGAGCTTATAACGAAAAACCACAAGGTAAAATTGCTTCTAAAAACTAGTCTTTTCATGTACAAAAGCGTTATTCCTCTTGTGTTCATAGGGTTTTGCAGAAATTTGTCAACTTCATTAGATAATATTTGGGATTCAAAGTAAAGAAGTGTTATAACTTGTGGTCTGTGTGCGCTGTCAATGTATAACGTGATAATACCGCCAATTAGAGAATAGTAATTTTTCGATCGAAGCAATGACGCATAAAACACGTGCGAGCAGTCTAAAGTACTTGTCGGTCTTGCTTCCTACCTAGCCCAGTCTGTTAAGTCCAGAACACCAATCTCAGCCTCTGCAATACGAATCATGTATTTCAAACATACTGAATTTATATACCAACCAGGTAGACCACATTGTACCATAAAATAGGAAACAACATTTGTACAAGATTTAGCCAAAAGTGGCTGTTTATGTTGGTGGTAGTAATTGATAGACTATGTATACCTTAAGAATAGTAAATCGTATAGTAATAGTTCATACGTCAAAATAAAGCTTATGATAAGAAGAATACGAATATGAATGGCTTAGTTATTTAACATTTATACGATAAAAATATATGTATAATGTTATTTCATAAATAGACCCCAACAGTTACCACTCATTTATTCTCATTGGGATATAACAAGTGAGGAACATGAATATGAATAGCTTAGACACTTAACAATTATACGACAAAAATATACATATAGTATTGGTCCATAAATGCGACGCCCAAGTTACCATTCATTATTCATATCGGGACATAACAGATCAAAATGGTAGAGCTTTGAAACTGGTGAAAATCAACGCTGTGGTGAAAAGCCTGGCATAAAAATCGTGTCATAAAGTGTAGCTTTCATTTTAATTTTCGAGTTCAATAACAGTCTTAAACATTTGTATTAGAAAAAGCTTCATGTCAGTACTTCATGTCCATACTCGGCGAAAAGACTCATTTGTTTATTATCAGATACAATAAAGACAACCAATCAAACTGAATGGAAATGCAATGATAAAAATTCTCTTTCATTAAGAAATAACTCATTGCTTTTAATATTATGGTCACCAGGTAAAAGGTGTGTATGTATGAGAACGTATGTAACTGTACACAAATATTGCTAATATTATGAATGAATATCGATACTGAATGTTCTTACCCAAGACCAATTTTCATTTGGAAATGAATTTAATATAACACAAAAAGATATGATTGAAATTTCTTAAAATAACTTTAGACATATGAGTTTAAAAGTTGTCCATCAATATATAATTGCCAATTATGAAAGAATATGGTCATCTTTTATTATCATTTTATTTTAAGGTCATCTGAATATTAGGTATTCAATTATCACATAAATTCATAACCACTTTTCTTTAGGAAAACAAAACTCTATTAATCTGTGCAGTTTTAATTTTACTAAAAATTGAAGGTTTTTCCTCATATTCTTACTTTTTTCACCTACTCGAACAAAAATTCGAATTATCTTAAGATTTATTCGAATATATATCTTACAACAGAATTTCATACAGAAAAATATTTTGTAAACCAAGTGCATGAAAATGGAAAATTCGCAAATATTTGAATGCTACCGTTTCTACTATGAAAGCACATAACAACTGAACTGAAGGAAATGATCGCCATCCTGATTTGCTACAGTAGTCGAATTTTTATATCAAACATCACCGCCATATTAGCTTCAAAATTTACCACTGCGGAGCTGCATAGGACAATTTCGTTAAAGTTCCATATTTTAATCTTTTTGTGTCGGAAAAAATGTTATTAACAACTTAGTTTTCTTAGATTTTATATCATTCTTGTTAGTTGGTTAGTAAAGATTACGCGTGATGTAATGAGACGTAATATTAGCGAACTACTTGAAATTCCGATTAACTAGCTAAAATATACGGAACGTAGATGATACTTGACCACTAAATAACAATATCAGTTAGTTTTCACTAACCATCGATAATATATTTAGATGATATGAACACCCAAGTACCTAGTCTAAAGAAATCGGAACTTAGATATGTTATTATTTAAGTATGTTTTCATAATTAAAAACAATCTTGAACTGATTAACTTGTGATTGTATCAAATAAATCTTTTACTGTATTTCAAGCCACGTGGTTCATTACGCCGACATTATTCTGACCACAATTTCGTTCAACACAGCTCTAAGAGTATTTTTATTTTTGGATAAGGCAATATTTGGAAGAAAAACGAATCCGTCATTTCAAGATACCCCATCAGTTCCCAACACACTAAAACCGAAAATAGTAATATGATCATTAAAAAATGTCGACCTACCAGTATTAGTGAAATTACAGTTTTGAATATACAGCAAATAAACAACCATGTCACCTTGTCATGTTAGTATCTCTAAATGCATTCAAAGCAATTATTGCTGGCTTTTACCGTTCTCATTCAACCATTTTGAAACGATACCTGAAATCCTATTTCTTACAGTACAACGTTATTTCTCATTTTCAAATTAAAAAATCAATATCTGTAATCCTATATGTTCATCATTAGAACAATGTTTTCATTCAATTTCAAAAAATGTGAAACTAAGATCCGATAAGAATTTGATGTCTCATTACATAAATCATTTGGTTTAATTTGCATATATTTCACAGTAAATAAATAAAATTCACGCGACTGATGGCTTCGTTGACGTTCAATTTAAGCATGTTAAGAAATAGTGTGTATGTGAAGTTGATATCCGGTTTATTCACAATTACTGTCACTTAATAGATGCAAATGTTAGAATTAACAGTGATTGAATAACGTGGTTAACAACACTCTGGAAATCTTACTTGCTAATATGAGACATGTATTTTTATTTGCTATTTAACTTACCACTGCTTTTCAATATGTATTTTAAATGTCTTACTAGTCCAGTGACTCCTACAACATTCGCTGATCACCCACCGAAAAATATGACATCTTCAAATATTTGTATTTAAAAACACAAAAGTTTAAATGGGAAAGATTATCGAACATCTAGGTTCACAATGATTATTAATACATGACAGTAACTGAATAAATTGTTGAGAACTTTACCTACGCCCACTAAAAATGTGTCCACTACTCAGTTACTGTTTAGGCTGTCGAAATTCACGTTTCCCTAATCTACCAATCAAGACACTAAAAAGACAGGCGAATTATCCTATAAACCTTGTATTAGTTAAGTCAATAGATTAGTAAATCGAAAACTATAGAGTAATAGATCGAAGTCGATACATATCTAAGGCATTTGTGATACAAAGATAATTCATAGTTGATTAATTGTAACTTATGAAAGGGAGAGGATTGCTCAGCAGTTAGTGAGTCGAATGAAAGCTGACAATCTGAATAATATAAAAACACTATGAAGCAAACGTTTCCCAAATTTAAACATTTTTATTGTTTCTTTCTAGCAAAACGTTTTTTCAAAATAAGACCTTACTGACTAAAAGACTGGATTCCGATCAGGCTATTTTTAAATGACTGATGGCACAATTCACAACATAAATGCTCACATTAAATGTGTTATTTGACGATATTATAGTCACAAATAGGCGTTAATGGTGAGTGGTATCGTCAGCAGATATTTAGCTGTAATGCTTGAACTGTGGATGCAAATGATAGTAATTTTGCACAAATAATGGTGAATTTTCAAGTCAAACTGACGAACGAATCGGAGTCAAGAAAATGGGTTTTGGGATTTCGTATAAAATTCAAAACACGTTGGCGTATAGCTTATATCCAATCACTTATGAGAGCAATTGAAGTCGATAAACATGACAAGCCTAAGTAACAGGAAAATCTTAACGGTTACAGAATGAACTTAAGGAAGTCATTAGCTTCTCAAAGGAGAAGCAACAGAAAGAAAACAGAACTGAAATGTTTACAATGTTTTAATATGATTTGCAAACATCCCAAGGCACATTAGAGGTTCATTAGGTCAGGAAACGAAGAACTGCCCAAGTATTCATCTTCATGCTTATAATGCATCCATCGAATCTAGAACTAAACCTGACACTTTCTTAAGTTTTCTACATTATATTTACTTTCAGCATATTCTGAAAGGTTAATAGCTTAGTATAATTTCGCAAGGTCACTTATAGTAGTCAGAAAAGCAGTCTTAAATGAGTTATTAAACTTCTGCTCGAAATTAAAAGTAAGCATAATTAGTAGTTTCACTTCGGACTGAAATTTGCACTGTTACCTCTTCTTATTATAGATTTCTCTACATTACACAAAACATCTCAGGGTAGCTACCCTAGTTAACAACTAAAAACACACGAAAGTTTAAGGGTCCTAAGACCTATTGTTGCGGAAGTTAGATCCCCAAAACCCATATTTTGTAATTTTATCTTTGTGGAGCTTGTATGCAGATGTATGTTTGGGCATTTCTTACCACCTACGCACATAGTCGAGTGACAAACTTATCGATTGAATGTTTAAATATTCCATGGCAATATCGATTATATATATTTGTATAAGTACGCTTGATTTGTGTGCCTGATTGACCTGGTATTTTCCGGTTGCCTGTAGTATACACTTTCTACATCTTACCAAGACTTGTGGGTCGAGTTAGCTGAGTCGGGGACAACTGAAAAGTATAGCCTATCGAGTCCCTGGTTGCTTGATTCTTCGTTCCGTTCCGAGTAAGACGAATCAGTAGTAGCATTCAAGTTTAACGAACATAACACCTACAAAAAAACCAACAGTATAGGTTAAAGTAATAAATGACTACCCATTTTGATTTTCTCTGCATACATTTATGAAACCTGTTAAGCATTTAGATAATTTGTAACAAACGATATCAGTGCTGAGCATATATATATATTAACCGAATCACAAATAACTACCTGTATAAATGCGTTGATCTATGGAAGTTTGAAAACAGTCAAACTGAAAATTAAGCATTAGTCTAGTTCATTTGCTCACAATACTATGTTTATTGTGTTTACTGACTTGTGTTTGAAAGTTTACTAGCCTTTATCAAAGGATTTAATCAATTTGTGGTTGATTCAGATCGTAAAAATTGTTCTACATGCGTTTGTCGAACAATTTCTCAATGTTAAACAAAATAACACAAGTGTAACCTTTAAAATAGCGAGATTTTTACAAAAACCGAAAAACTGAGAGCACAATTTCTCATCATGGTCAAACAAGACATTTTCATTCACAACGTTTAGTTTAGACTCGATCAACAGGATATTAAATTGTTCGCAGTAATCTGAAAAGCATCGTTTAAACATGATATGAAGTGAATTTGACGTTTTGACCCTACAAAAATGGTTATTTGAGTTTGTTTTGCATTCATTCATAAAAAATTATGTAATAAATGATTGGTCACTCAAATACACGAAATAAACGGCCACATAGACAAGTAAATTTGTTTTAAATATAATCATGCATCCACATTTCAGATGCGAATTGGTTGGTTGATCAAACAATGGATCAAAAAAATAAAAATGGTTGCCGAAATATGATTTTAAATGGACACAGAATACTACAGAAATTATCTGTACATCATAACTGAGTTATATTTTCGTAAACATGATGCTATCGATTTAGACTTTAATATTTCTTCTATCTCTTAAAGAGACGCTAAATTAGAGGTAGATTTAACTAAGAAATCAATTCTAAGAGTTGCTTGTGATTTACTAGATTCTAAGTGATGTTTTGTATTTGATACATTAAAAACGTTCAGAAAACCACTAATCGATTTTATCCACTATTTTACTACTAAGCCCACCAAAACATTGGTTTTTTCTTCTAAATGTATTACCATATTCGTTTACGCTTCTCTAGATATTTTGGTTACCCATGTCATATTATTAACAAGAAACCTAGAAATATCAAAGGATGAATTTCTCGCGAGAATCCAGACAGAAACTACATAAAAATTTGAAATGAAAACTTTATGATTTAAATTCCAACTCTAAATGACACGTCTCTGAATATACGCGATGATTCCCCAAGTTAGCAAGTATATAAAATAAAGCTTCAAGACGTATGAATAATAATTTATTGTTAACTAAGTAAATATACTATTCTAAGTATACGAATGATTTATAATCTCGTTTGGTAAACAGATCTTTGAACGACTAAAATGAACGGACCTATCGGAAGCGATCAAATAAATACCCACGCTTTGGTGTCGTAAGTAACATAAAAACATATTTAACTATGGACGTAAAAATGTCATCCAATGACATTTGCTTTCGTTTGTTCCCTAGCTTTGGAGAGGAAAGCTGAAATATCCTATTAAGAAAGACGAGATGAAACAATCCGAAAACTTGTGGCACCAGAAATAAAAATAGAGAGGGGTATTTGTAATACAATCAAAACAGCCTTCACCATACATAACCTTCATCAATTTCGTCTCAGATAGTATCCTTCAGAGAAATAACTGAGACAAGCAGACTAAGTGTATAGTTAGGAAAATTGTAGAATTTAGATAGGAAGACACCTAGTACACAACAAATGGATCCCAATATTGGATCTACCACATGCAGAGACAAAATATAATATTGCTTCAAGATAGTATTTAATGTTTTATTAATTGGTTTAGATTAGATTGCAGATGTAAAAGTAATGAATCTAATAATCATCATTTGCTTCAAGCAGATTACTATCGTCACTAGGACTTTCGTTAATGACATCCTCTTCCTCAGTCAATCCCTCACATTTTTGACTATGATCACCAAATTCTTCCTCTACTTCTGATTCACCATCTGCATAACGGGGGGTAGAATGACCTTCATTTACAATTTGGCTTGAAGTTGAAGTACTAGTATTAGATACACAGTGCGACGCAGAATAACGATTAATGTCGATCCTAGAAGAATTAGAGTAACTAACAGAACGTGAACCAGTGCTAGGGCATTCAGTATCACCTTCAATAGAATCATTATCTTCTGATAGATCAGCCCCATGAAGATCTCGATTTTTCAATGTTCCAAGCCAAAACGCTTCCAAGCAACTGTTTTGTGAAAGCATGATCTATAAAAGTAAAATTTAGCTATCAATTTAAGCATTTAAGATGTGTTATGCATTGATATATATAATACGAAGAACACTTAAATATTTGCAACATATTAGTTGCCTTTCATCGAAATAAACAGGGAATAAAAAGACACAGATACACAAATTAATATCAGACATTAAGCATACCACGTGGCTAGTATATTTCCCCTTTCATATAACTCAGTAAGTTTCCCAGTTTGGGAACACGGAGTGATAGTTCATACAATCATACAGTGAAAATGTCTTCCTATTGAAAATAAGAAAGTTCGATACATTGGATGGATTATCACTATTTAAGGGAACCCTAAAAATATGAAACTAACCTTGACTTTATAAACAAACGTTTCCAAACACCGTCTTGTAGCTGGAATTTGATTAGTTAGTTGAGAGTCACGATATGCTTTAGCGTGATTGCATATACGTTGAAGGAAACGAGTTAGTTGTTGTGTGTTCTTTAAGAAGGTAGTAACCTCCACACCTCGATGTCTGAAGTAGATGCGAAATATAAAAGTCACTTGGTAATTAACGGTTAGTTTAACTGACTAACACTATTTAACTATAACACACTGAAAATTTCATTCGTAATCGTTTAAAAAGTTAAGGTGTCATACTAACGTACCGGCTAGAACAGTCAGCCTCATTTAAAGTTTTATGCAGCTGTATGTGGACTTGGTATTTAATTCACACAGGAAAAATGTTTAATAACAGAAACTTAGATACCGGCAACCATAAAAATTCGCAGTTATAAGTGGGGCTATTGCAACGAGGGGTAGATGATAGCCACTGAAACATACTTCAGACTACACTATTCACATAATAAGTGGAAAACATTGATATTTGGTTTTATCCTTCGAGAAGTAGCATGGGAAGTATATAATAAGAAGTAGTGATAAAAACGTCCATCAAATAAAAATATCCTCTAACTACGGTGTAAATTTTACATCACCACAACGTAAAAGGTTTTTTGCATATAAAAATCTAAGTTTACGGTGAGACAGATTTTTTATACAATCGAAGACATAAAAGGATTTTAAAAACAAAACAGATGATGCTTTGGTTGTGATTATTTTCGAAATAAATTGTAATGTTCAATGGGAACAAAAGAAACCAGAGAAGAAATGCTTAACAATTTCCTTAAAACAAATTAATCAGGTTTTATTCTCTATCGTAGCATTTTGAACGTGACATGACAATAAATTAAGAAACTAAAATGAGTTGGTTCCACTTATTAATCAAATTCATGACAATATGTTAGCCTTTGAACAACACTCTTAGGAACTACGTATCACAATGAACATAGGCCAAGATATTACCCACCTAAACAAATTATTTAGTAAAGGCATAGCACCTTTCAGCAATAATTGAAGGAACAGACGTCCAGTTCGCATCACTGTTGGTAATAAATGAATTATTGAATTGCTCTTGTTTGAAGGAAAATTTCTACTGGGTCTTGAATTTGATTCCGTTATTCGTTCAGACTTTCGAAAAAAATCTGTAATACAACACAGCACTTCAACACACTGATTCCACTGAGCAACAATAGAGCTTTCGTCCAAATGAACTGAATTCACTGAAGTGTTTATGCTTCTTGGCAAATCACATAGATGTTTTGAAATCCTATAAAATAAGGAATTATCGAAAATGGTTGGATATCAAAGAAGTTAGATTACAAGCACAAAAAAATATAGCTTCTGACCGGTTATTTAACAAAAGATGATCTTTCTCTTGTCCTCAACACTTAAAATGAATTCCCCTCATATTCACAGACTTTTAAACCACATGCGCAGGTAAAATTCTATTCGGAAACTGAAAAAATTAGACTACGTGACGAATATATTTGAAAACAAATCCAGCTAAATTAAATAACACGTTTATAAACACAAGGCATCCAAAGTGAAATTATAGTTTCTGTTAACTAAAATCATAACATGAATTGCCAAGATATTTCCATACAGATGCATATTATACCCCATGCAAAAGAATCTACTGTAATGTTCAAAGTGACCTTGCTAAGGTAGACCGAATACCTTAAATCTCAAAGAACTTAATTTTGCATAAGTAAAATGAATTTCATCCGCAACAAATGCCAGATAGACAAATACCTCGTTAACAGTACTTCACAGATTCAACTTTGTTTATACGATAGCAGCAAATATTGATTGTTATAAAAGTTGGACTTCTTATTTCTCCATCCAAAAGAGTTCGTCTAAAACAAGAAAAAACTACTGTGTTGGCTCATAAGGTCTACTGACAATCCAGAAAAAAATGAAAGTGCTCTGTGACAAGAAACCTGAAGACAACAAAGCAGTTACAAGATACAACAAATATGGTTAATTAAATTTGCAGTTCATCTAAAAGACTATGTATATTCACTTGACTTTTATAATTTGAAGGACTATAATGGATACTTACCAGACTACACTTTCCAACACCTCACGGCAAAATATATCGATTGTCTGTCGATTTAAAGTTCGGTATGAATTATGTAAATTGTCAGAAACGCCATTTGAAGATAATGGATGAATGATATTCTGGTGACACTGTACAGCTGGAGCGAGAACTCTTCTGGTGAAATCTACTAATAAACTAGTTGACTGAGATAACGAACAAAGCTTTTTTGAACGATAGAACTGACAACGAAGATGGAATGATAGTAGAGCTTGGAGGCACTCTGAATAAGTTTGGTCTGCGAGAAAAAATATTTAGGAAGAAAAAACAATAAATAGCCGAACGGATCACACTCGATCTTTTAAAGCTACGTTATAAAATCAGCATTGGTCAAACACAAATAAATGAAAATCACACAAAAATTAACTGAGTAATTATAAGGTATGGAGTTGGAAAGCCAAATAAATGGTAAACAATAAAACAGTTTCTAGGGAGACAAAGGAATGAATGCAACCGAACAATCATTGGTTCCTAGCGAGAAATCAGACCTCCCCAAAAGGGACAAACACCAATTTAATGACTTACTCTGTTTATATTCATATTTTTCAAACTAGTTGGAGGAGACATTGATTTGATATAAATGACACAACGTTGTTGTAGAGATTCAAAACCTTACTAGAACTTCTCTATTAACTTCAGATCATCCAATTAATACTAACCAAAGTGTATTGTGACCATACTTATAAATAAATGTTATTCGGTTACAATAATCTTCTTAAGAACTGTCTCCCTCTTTTACAGCAAGAGCAAATTGATGTGGGGTACAATAACTACTTGGAACGTACTTCGATAAATTACCAATACCACTGTCAGTGCGATAGTCGATCAAAAAGAAGGGCTACATGTATAAGGAGGCAACAAAAGATAAGTGAAGACAATTGAACCTGGCTTTCCTTGAAGTAAGTGAAATATATTGGACACAAGCTGAACAAAAACAAATTATATTAAGAGGTGCCATTGGATTCGGGTCGTAAAGTGGTTGCACTGATGCTCTCCAAAAAAATACGAAAACGAAGGGAATCGCATGGATCCAGGATCATCAAAGCATCCTTCAAACCAAAGGAGGGAATCACAATGAATGTTATCCAATGTGATGCACACGCCAATGATAGCAACGACGACGACAAAGATCAATTTTATGAGAGGCTGTAATCGATTATAGCGAAGTGGCTAGGAAACGACCTGAACATCCTGATGGGAATGGAAAACACTGGGTATGAAGATACCATGAGACGACATGGACTTTAGGAGATGAACGAGAATGTCGAGAGGTTTGATAATCTATGTGACTGCAACAAATTGGATATAAACGGTACAGTACATCCCCCACAAACGCATACACAAGGCTGCAAGGGTCTCACTGGATCACACCAAAGAGAACCAGATAGATCATATTTGTATCAATAAAAAAACCAGAAGGACAATGGAAGACGTGAGATATCTCAACAAAGAAAGGATATCGGAGGAAATGTGAGAATTACAGAGGCATCACACTACTATCAGTACCAGGAAAAGTTTTCAATAATGTTGCTAGACTGGATGAAAGATTCAGTAGATGCCCGACTTTGAGACCGGATTCCGTAGGGATTGGTCGATAACAGACCAAATCGCGACAGTACGAATCATCGTTGACTAATCAACTGAATGAAGATCATCACTATATATCAAATTCCTCCACCTTGCCAAAGCAATTGACAAAGTGGATAGGAAAACTTTATACGATATTCTTCGACACTATGAAGTGCCTGAGAAAATTTTTAACATCATACGGAATCCATACGACGGACTACATTTCAAAGTCGTTCACAGACGACAGCTTACAGATGCATTCCAAATGAAGACCGGTATCAGACAAGGCTGTCTACTCTCATCCTCCCTCTTTCGCCTAGTAACTGACTGGATCATGAAGACCTCGACATCTCGGCGGAAGCACACAATTCAATGAACAGTTTGTATGCAACCAGATGATTTGAACTTCGCAGATGACCTGACCCTTCTAACTCATACATACCAACGATTACAGGTCAACACAACCAGTGTAGCAGTAGACTCCTCATCAACAGGCCTCAACATACACAAGGGAAAAAGCAAGATCCCCAAATACAACACAGAGAGCACCAACCCAATCACACGTGATGGAGAAAGTGTGATAGAGGTGAAAGCTTTCACGTACCTGGTCATCATCATCGATGAACAAGAAGGATCAGATGCAGATGTCAATGCAGGATTGAAAAAGCAAGGACAGCATTTCTACAGTTGCAGAACATATGGAACTCAAAACAACTGTCAACCAATATCAAAGTCACAATCTTCAATACGAATGTCAAGACAGTCCTACTGTAGGGAGATGAAACGTGGAGAACTATCACAATCATCATCAAAAATGTACAAGTATTTATGGAGAGCTGTAGGTGCAAGGTAATACACATCCACGGGCCGGTGACCATGACAATTAATCGACTACGTAGAGAAAATACCTCCCTCTCGAAATACTCTCACATTGCCACGTGTATATAGCCTCTGCCAGGGAAGTCCTACTCATTGCCTTCTCGTGGCGGGGGTGTTGTCTACGAAAATGAGAGGACCAAAAGCGAATGTCCGGCGCTTTAACTGGGTTCTAAACCAATGGTACACATGGGCTCCAGTATCCTGCGGGAACAAATGGAGTACGAACCACTCGTTGGTCACCGGCTTCCTTGGGACTGCATTTCCTTACGATGCTCCACTGCCTTGTGGATTAGACCGTCAGGTCGAAGGCTCGGGGTGTGGCCCCCTAAGGAAACCACCTGCTTCGGTTTGGGCACCCGGGCAGTATCACAGCCCTCACACATATCGAATAAGATTTGTGTAGCGCATATGTATTTGGTGCCTCCTTGTGCCAATATCTATGTGTTAAAATAAATAAATAAACATGGTAGCAATGAGAAAGAAGAGTCCAGGACGGAGTAGTTCGGAGGACTGTGCCCTCAGAGGGTTAGGAGGCCTAGGTATGTTTATTTATTTATTATAGCCGAATTTGCGCTTAGTGTGCAAGATCAATGAAAGTGCTAACTATTACCTTTCAACTTGATAGAAGCTTCCCATTCTTGATTCAACACGTCTTTTGTGTAAGAGAATAAATTTGGAACCTAAAAATTAAATAAAGCCGGAAATCATTCAGTAAAAAATGGAATCCCACTACAAAGTTATATCAATTTTACAACCTCTCCCTTCAAAAAATTACATCGATAAAAGCACTATTAAGGATTCTAGTTAGTAGAGTACAATCAATTCGCTTTAGAAATATATCTTATAAGAAATTCATTCCTGATATTTATACTTTGAAATACATATGTTCTCTGACTTTGTAATTTTGTTATGCATTATGGCCTTAGAAAGATTCTAATAGGTTAGTTTAATTACTTAAAATATCCGAAAATCTAGTTGCTATTTCTGAGCATTTTCATGATGAAACCATAGCCATCAACTTTTGTTATAATTATAACCTGCGTACGTTCATTAAAATATGATAAAAGATGATACGGAATCTGAAGTTGATAGATGAAATCTGAGAAATGCTGAAAACTATTTCGGATTTATAAGTATAGGTTTCCTGTTTGGTATATACGGAAAATTCTGTGCTGAAAGAAGAATTCCTCTACCATGATAAACTACAAATTATTTATTACAACAGTGTATATTGTATCTGTGTATAAACAATATCTATTAATGCTGAAATAACTCGGTTCTAGATTATTAAAAAAGATATTAAACTGATCCAAAACAAAAAATGAGTAATATTGTTAACTACCCAAAATGTATTTTCATCTGATTGACATGAGACGGATAAGCTGTTTTGACATTCATAATACAAAGAAGACAAATAAAATACAAGGCGGCAGTGTAAAAGAGCTGCATAAGCACTAGGTAAACGAGATGGTGTTAAATTCTTCATCAAGTATTCGATTATTGTACGTAGGTTTTCAGATAAGGCAGCATTGTCTGATAATGAAATAAAAATAGGGGTTTGTTAAGCATACAAGTATGAGATTATAAATCGTTATTCACAAAACCAATTTAACCGAACGAGCGGATTCTGAACAATGATTCAAGCTGAGAGACAGATGGATTAAAGTGAACACTTAAACTTTCCAAGTCTCGAAATGTGAGATCTAGAGAGTTATGCTATCTAAAGAATAATCAAAATAAAAATGCATCTCCCAAGCAATCAACGAGAGTGAGTAACAATACAAGTTACTGCAAACTAGAAAGGCAGTGAAGAATACTGTTTTAAAGAATCACTCAAATTTAAAGGAAGCTTGATTAGGCAAATCAGCTACGGCAAAGTTTAAACAAGTAACAACACAAAATGAAGTTAACCAAGAGAAGAAACGTAGTGTTGCAAAAAAGATTAAGCCAACAGATTTACGTAAATATAGCAAAATAGTTCGTAAAAGATTTCGTTGGACAAAAAAATCGACGATCGTTACACAAGGCGAACAAAGACGAAATAATGTTAGAAATAAATAATATATTCATATATGTATGGCCAATACTCTGAGGGTTTTAAATAAAATAACAATGTGTGCACAACCTTATCTTTGTCTTCCTGAAACAATCGGGTTCCTGGAAATGCACCACAAATCATAGCTATGGGTAAAAACCACTGTCAACCATTCTCTTTTACCTTCAACTCTCCACAAACGGTGCTGATGTTAACGACTTGAGTTTGCAAAATATTATTCCCAGTCTCTCAAAACTCCACTACAAACTATATGTTTGGGTTTTTAGTGTTCGGAACTTACCTGAAATTGGGCAACAGGTTTCACTAGCTAAGACTCTACAATCTTATCTACTCAATGTATACTGTATCCGTAAAACCTGCTTACAGGCTTCAAGTATGATCATCCACTTGACCTCATCTAGCCAATAAGGGGATCTATAGTGATCTATCCTTCACGCAACTTCTCGTCAACTTAATGGTGTTTGTATAACACCAATTTTGAAACCAGAACATACACTCCCTGAATAAATTGCTATCGATAGTTTCTTGTACGCTGTCCGATTAACTAATATCAGTAGACGTTATTATCTCTTTGGCGTTTCTGCTTATTTAGGGCGAACTGCATAATCTAAATTTATCAAATATAAAAAAACCTCAAAGCAAACAGGGTCATGAAAACAAATATTAACTTACCAAATCTAGGCATATTTATTTCTTTTAAAATGGGCAGCGAGTCATGATTTTCATCGTAAATATCAACAAAAAGTTTTCCATCTACTTCATCCATTTGTTTCATAAACAATGTGGTTTGTTCTACATCATAATCATGATTAATAGGCTTATAGTGGTCGGGTCTAATGATACCCTCTGCATTTATCATAATTTCACGTGTAGCACTTGTATTGATGTTCGATTTACAACACTTGGCAAATGTGTTTATGGTATTATATGTGAAAGTGGTCATAGAACTGATAGTTAATGAATCAGGGCTGTCAAATAAATATCGTTCGACGTTTGGAGAGAGATTAATGAATCCATTTGTGAACATCAACAAAGAACGTAAACAAATGCACACGATGGATGATATCTGACAATTTAATCCAGATGATAAACTTTCGATGAATTTACTTCCATTAATTGGATTAGTTTTTTCAGAAGTAGGTGCATCCGACTGTGACTTTTTGGACTCCGTAATATCCTGTGAGCTACGCTCATCGTCAGATGAGTCTGATGAGAAAACTGTGTCACTCACATTGTTCGAATAATTTGCGTGCTTAGCTATACCTAATAGTAGAAAACATAAATGTCAATCAAAATAATAAAACCAAAGTCAATACAAAACAGAAAGATATCTGACCTGAAATATAATCCACTGCATGCACTAGTATATAGACAAGATAAGGAACAATATAAGTGAAATAAGCAAGCTTCGAAGATTCGGTGAGATTGTTTAAACGCTCAAATGCATTCCATCCATTTGTGGCGGGTAAGCTAAGAAAGGAAAACAACAGCAATTGTATTCAAAATACTTTATCATCGCAAACACACCAATAATGTTTACTCCAATATATTGATAATAAAAAAGTAGATTTCGTAAGTTATTTAAACTCAGCTCTTGTTCCTAAGAGAATTACATTTCGGTTACGTAACAAGTAATATCCAAACCATAAATAACAACTCATCCATTCATTCCTGAATCCTTACTGTTAAGTGTGGATCACGAAAAAACAAACACAATAATAATAGATGCAAAAGCGCATAATATAAACTCTGTAGCAGTATTATTATCGTATTTCATTATTATTATTACTACTACTACTACTACTACAACTACTACTACTACAACTACTACTACTACTATTACCATTATTATTATTATTGTTATTATTATTATTATTATTATTATTATTATTATTATTATTATTATTATTATTATTATTATTATAGAGTAGAGTTGAACGAGATACAAAACAAAGTCCTTTTTATCGTTTATAAATGTGATTCCATGAGTAAATACAAATGATCTCTAAGAAATTCGGTACACCACACTATAAATTTCAGGGGTTTTACAAACTGCTGATTATTATTTCATACGTATAGATCAGACCATTTAATCTCCATAACCAAAAGCGGCGAAAAATAATAAAACGTATCCCTTTTTTGAGTTCATACTGATGCTATTTAGTCGGATACCAACTGAATTATCGTCACTGCACACAAATACAAACGTCGGAATTCCCAAGTTGGTGTTGCTCCCAGAAGTGAGCAACGCAAATCGTAGTCATCGAAAACCTTAATCTATAATCCGCAAGATATCACGAGAACACAGTAGAACTGCTCTCGCTGGCGCATTGTAAACGCGACTGTTAATAGCTGGGGAATATCATGACAGTCCCAAAGACGACTCGGCTGATAGTGAAAATGGAAGAAATATTGGGAAGTGAAGAAAGGAATAATATGTAACAAAATGAGCTCCAGTTCTGTCAGAAGTATATGGATGGTTATTACTTTATGATTGACCACACCATGGAGAAATTTATTTCTTGAAGACCTGAAAGAATGAAGGTAGAACTCAGTGGATAACTTGTTTGAAGCCTTACGCACTCAGTCTCATGTGAATAATTATCGATATTTTACCTGAGTAATCCCAAGGCATTACCACAAAAACAAACATCTATGGGAAAAGGCAGGACATCCTATTTTTAGGGTTGACTATTTTAACATCTCCATTCCCTTGCGGGAAGGGTGTACAGCTGAATAGCCTAGTGATCTTTGAAAAACATTCTACTGCTAGCATACTCCAGTACAATATGTAGTAAAGCTGGGACAATACAAATAGGAAAATTATTAAACATGAAAAACACTAGCATATAGGGTCTTTAAATCTATGAATCATCGACAAACTTACGGGATCCCAATAACATAGTCCAAACGGATACTTAATTCATCAAGTAGCCAAGTAAGTGTTGTCCAATCAATAGAACTCACATTGGATACTTGATTATCATTACACTTCACTATCCATGGCCAAGAGCTTAGACCTAAAACAATGGCACTGAGATCCAATTCGCGAAAACAAGTGGTCAATTCACGTAAACTTGGCTAGTAAAGTGAAATAGAATAGCTCCAGTTTTTATTACATTTACTTAAAAGTTATTGGTAAATAATCCGAACACAAAAACAAATGAAATTAAACAGATTAAAAGAAAACAAAATATAAAACGGAAATAAAATTAGGAAACTCATCAGTGTCTTAAGTATGCAATTATTATTTTTCACCAAGCAACCACAAGATGTGATTTTTTGAATGACAAGAAATGCTAAAATTCTATGCTTTTTAACATTAAATATTACATCCGTGTCGTGCAACGAAACAAATCTGATTTTAGAATCCATAAAAATGGAAGCCTGGTATTAATTTTAACCCTTAACTGGGAGGTGTATGTTAGATAAGAATCGTTTGTCCCTAGATTTCTGTAAATTAAAATAAACAGCCAAGACGAGTTTACTAAAAATGAGGAAAATACCGTTCAAAAGGTGTTCGATACTTTTTTCCTACTGGCCTTCTATCTACCTGGCTTGATCAAGCCTAGGATTTAACAACAGAAAAGACTATCAAGTTATACAAATATAAACCATTATTCTACAGATCATTGGACTCCATTGTCTTACCAACATTTGCTTCGAATATGGTAGGAAAACGAATGAATACACCTCCAATACTGGGACAGATTATGGGCTATGTCGATGCCTAACATGAAGTCTGCAACTCCTGGGACGATTCAGTCCTACAATCAGTGGCTTCAATGACAGATCCTGGTCTGGCAGTTGCATTATGACATTTCATTACACAGTAACCTATGAAGACTGATGAGAACTCGAATGTAGGTGAGACTACCGATTAGCTTAATTACTTCACTTCATATGACTAAAATATCTTTTAACGTAGACCAGTCCTGTATTAGTTGGAAAGGCAAATTATTCAGCTCAGAGGACGAAACTCCACTAAAATCGTCCACTGGAGTTACAAAACTTCTCCATCTCAAACACATCACCAGTATTATGTGATCGTCAAACAAGGTATTTAAATGGCTTTAACATTTGTCAGTATCGTTACGTGACTAGGTCATCTGCATAATCTAAACCAATGAAGGTAGCGTATGATTTCACCTAAAACCACGCCAACTCAGGTTAATGTAAGTGAGATTTCCATCGTTCGAGGATTTGAAAACCAGACGGTGGAATCGTTTCAGAAATTCCTCAAGTTTATAACTTCCCTACCATATAATGTATCAAATAGAATTCCTATCTCTTTAATGATGGTCATAAAAATATTTAGCCAATCAATCCGTAAAGTAAAATTTTGATAACAAAACACGTTAGAATAAAACCTCTGGCAAGTTCGCTAATCATGTCCTATCAAAAATTATAATGTTTGTTTGATAATTTCTGTTTAAATTCAATGTTTCCTTTGAAGCTCATTAAAGCCCCTGTAATCATTAATGGAAATAAACTTTTTTCTACAAGAGGGATAAGTTTAAATGTGAATACACCACAGGCACTTTAGGGCCTAGCGAATTAGGTGCGCAACATTTAAATTCTAGAAACTAAATCATCATTGGGTAGTAGAAAACAGAATTAGGGAGCACTGAACTATTTCTGGTTAAAGAGTTTTAAAGACCCGAACTCTATAAATACCCTCAATTTTCTTTACGTAAACTAACTCTGGAGTAAATCCCTTACTCACATTTCGCCTTTTTTTGTTCCAGCTTAACATGTAGAAGTAGTTTGAGGTACAGGAATCGGGTAGGAAAACAGTAAAAAACGTTCGTGGCAAACTTGTTAGTTTAAAATCAAGATCACCAAGTCTTCGTTTGGTTGAATTTATATGTTTAACTTTAGTGGTAGTAACAGTATTGTAGTAAATATTTACTGCTCTAATGACGGGGATAACTGGAAAAATATAGTTTTAATACGTGTAAAAAAGATGGGGAAAATGAAACTTAGACTAAGAAAGCTCAAAATATTTTATGTAACTTTTACGTGAGAGAATAACTAGGAACCAAAAATCAAACAATATATTAATGCTAAAAAGCAGTCAAACATGAACTAAGTTATCAATCTAACGAAAAATCAATTTGCCTGAAGTACACATTTCTTCAGTTCCACTAGACTCTATAAATTATTGGTCTATCCAGTCAAAATTTAGTGTGATTGGTCAAGATTAAAGACAGACATGTAGACTAACTACATTAAATAGAAGGGATTAAAACGCTTTCGTCTAACCTGTACCTCTATGCTAACACATTCTTGTTATCACTGTTATTTGATTGTCAATAGAACAGCTGGCCTTGTGACTGTACCGCGTGGCTATGTAAAAATCATGTCATCACAATTATTTGTGAATGATTCACGTATAAATTATGACATAACAAATAGACAAAACCGTTTATCTTTAAACGTAGAATATTAACATTTTGATTATTCTACATTTTTTAAACGTATACTTCAATTTTTTTGTTTTAACGGATTAATGCATTCTAGAATAGTTTTTAAGTTACTAAAATCTCTAGCTTAATAAGTATTAGAAATGGGAATTCATACAGTTTAAAACACAAATCGATAGTGTTTATGTTAGCTATACATCGATTGAATTATTAGATTTTAGGTGTATTATATTAGACATTGTATCATACAAATCACATATTCAGCTTAATTATCAAATGTTATACATCGAGAACTGTATATTCATTGCAATAATTGAGTTTAAATAATAATATTAGCTGAAAAGAAGTGAAGATTAACACGTGAATATCAGCATAAAATACAACCCAGCAAATCCCGATGCTAAAGAAACATTAACATACCATCACACAGAGTTTATCAGATTTAATTGCTTTTCTACTGACTTTAGCCATTTTGGATGATTTAACAAAAACAGTCTTCTTGCCATGTTTCCTTGGGATTTGCGGTGAATCGCTCTGTTGAATTGCATTACATTCATCTTGTGAAGCAGCTGAATCACTCATTTCAGATAAATTGTCATCTTGATTTTCATTTACGTTATCCCATTGACTTTCGATTGTGTTCTCTAATGCTTTTCTACGCTTTACAATACTTAAGTTGGAGGAGACACGTATTTCTTTTCCTTTAGAACATGTACCAAATCTTGAGCTGGAACTATTTCTTTTTCGGCTGAAAGTTGATTACATGGAAGAACTAACAGAAGTGTAAAGAAGGTCATCAGGAATTTCTAGCTTAAGGTAAACTATTTTACTATAATGTTCCCAGGACTAAACAATAGTGATTGATATATGGTAAATTATATGAGATCATCATAACATTTTTAACTACTTTAAACTATACACTTTTCTCCGTCAATTTGATGCAAATTAAAAGCACTGGTTGTTTTGTATTGCACGCTTAAAAAATCAGGTAGAACTGTTATGCCAGTACACTCTATTTACAAATAACCAGACAACAGCTTGTGGTAATTTATCTCTAGATGGGTAAAAGTGAGAAAATCACTAGTTGTTTTGTGATTTATGCTTGTTGTCGTGAGATTTCGATTAAGTACCACAGTATTACTTAGTCGTTAATTATCACTTATTTCTTTGGTTTTCCTTCCTGAATACCAAAGTGAAAGGTGGACATATCAATTTTCCGACTTCATTCAAGAAATGTGATATATCAGAATCAAAATTGAAATAATGATGAATCCTAGAACTAATTTACAGATTACTAATATGTATATTCTTAAATAATAAGTACTGAATAACTGGATTACTATGTATATTCCATTTATATGTCCCAGTTAACCAATTAAATAATGTTATACGACCTACTACTCCTAATTTGTTGCCAGTCTACTATCTACAACTTCTTTTATTCACAGACGCTTTTGGATTGTTCATGTATATTAGTTATTTCTCTTTTTAAGATGTGATGCAGACTGGTATGTCTGTATATAAGCCACGTTTGTTTGACCTACAAATATAGTAGGAGTTGATTGCTGACTTTCAGACTCTAGACAGGACATGGAGAGAAGCTTGCAAATAAGGGGCCAACAAGAACTTAGCTGTGTCGGCTCAAAGTCAACAGTGCTAGTCGGGAGTATGATTGGTCAATTCGACAACAATAGGCTGTAGAGGAAATAGAAGCAGAATAGGTAGCAATTCCAACTAGAATTCTGATTGGTGACTTGTCACATAATATTGGTCAGCGGCTCCAAGACACAGCAAAATGTATCTGAGCTACAGAAGGCCATACGGTGATCATTGTATTCAGGTTAACTTGCAGTTACTCAGACTCACTGATGTCTTCGATCTCACAAGTACACAGAACTGGATATTTTATGTATGGTGAAAATTTATCTTCTATGATTATGGTAGTTGGAGATAAAGAATTTTTTAAAAATAACACGTAAAAGGGAAATAGATTGATATGATAGATGGTTTACAATGTTTTCCTTTCCACACACATATTAAGATAATACGTTAATAAGACTAATCACGTAATGTCAGAACCAGGATTCGCGACTCCGAAATAGAGAACCAGATTAACACTAGAGAATACTTGACCGAATACAATTACAAGCAGTCATACACAGTGAGTCCAGAGTAGAAATCAATGATAAGAAGGAAAATCACATATTTAATAGTTCGTAAGCTGTGGATTTCTGTCTATGCTCAACGACCAATCATACTTTACTTTCATTACCAAACATCCAAGATGTTATGAGCAACAACCATAATGTAACATACACAACTCACAGAAACTTCCCGCCTTTCTTTGAAACGACAATGTGTCAAGTTATGAAATACTGGTGAAAATATTGGAATAGGTTTAGCGTATCTACCTACGTTTGATATGTATCAATGAAAAATAACGGGGATATAAGTCTTTAGGTGTAAAGAAACATCAGTCTAACAAGATCATCAATGATTATATAAGGATTTGAGAAGTAACACTGAATATTTGATGCAACTACTAAAAATAAACCCACATTTGTAATAATCACACTAATAATCAACATATAACGGCACATTAATTTCTAAAAACAATTTTTTTAATGGAGATTCTCCACTACGTTTTTAGCATTACATGAATATTGGATTGCTTACAAGCAAGTATATTGGATAACAGAAATTAGTGAGAGAAGGGATGGGTATGAGTATGTTCGGAAATGGAAGTAACAGCGAAACAACGTACCCTGAAGAGCAATCTATATCACCAGACAGAAATGACTGCAAATGAACACCACAATTAAACCAAACTTGATTGACTTCTCTATTGTAAGAAGCAAAATGATTAGAAAAACACGTTGCAGGTTGATAAGTAGCAGTAGGGAAGAACAGATTCGACGAAGAAACATTATACTCACTGTCGGTTGACATACGATGAGACTGAAATCCAGGGTTTTCAATATCGGATATCTCAACTGCATCTGGTTGTTGGACGTCCTTCGTTTTGAATGCTATTACTAAGTAATAATAGAGACAATGACGAAGTTTCGCAATCTGAATGAGACGCAGAAGGATTGATAAATATTGTATACGAGTTGAATTAAACACGTTAGTTGATGCAACTGTATGAAAGTGAAAATTTTGTGAACTAGACGAATTGGCAAACAGTAACTTAGAAGCGAAAACGTTGACAGTTTCTATGAACCAGTTGATCGTCCCTATGACTAAGTAAGGCTCCTCAATGCTGACTGGTTCATTCGCCGTGATCAACTGGGTAGCCTCGCTGTTCAGAAACATGTTTGGCACTAGGACTGGACAACCCAAAAGAGCATCGATGGCTGAAAAATAAGTATTAAGAAGTACCACTGAGTTATCATAAACAGCTAATTATGCAACATTTACTAATACTATAAAAACCACCATCTCATCAACAAAATTGTTAAGAACGATATTACTGGTAAAAGTAATTCCAAAGTATATAATAAAACGGAGTAACAGTAATTATTTGTGAACCTCAGATGGTTGAAATAAATTACTAGACAAACAAAACTGGTATTTATAACTAGTGAATTGGTTATCTTGTATGTTTATATCTGGAAAGTATAATGTTTCGTCACACTTTTTATTACTGACGCAGAATGTACACAGTTTATGAACTCACAGAATGTAAAATCAGACAACTGAATAAAAGTACAAGAGGAAAACAGGTTCAAAGTATTGCAGTTTTCTGAAAATCGAACAGTGACAATACAAAACAAAGAACAATCAAAAAACGCTATCAAAGCACTGATGAGATATTTGCCTTTGATTGGATTGTGGCTGCTAGTAATCAAATGTTATTCAACGAGTAACACCGGAATTCACATGATTCGAATTTTCTTTTTCCACAAAAAAACAAGGGAAATGGAAAGTCTTAAAATCAGAAGTGACAACTAGAGACGGTTTACGAAGACTAATCAGTGGTGTACACCAAATACCAAACAGCTAGGAAAGTTCTGATTTGCATACTACGACCATTTTGTTAATGATAAAACTGTATGCCACTTTACACTCTGACGTATTTTTCAAATGAAGTGTCAGAGAGGTACCGTACGTCAGTATTTACCTGAAATTTTATAAGCCTGAGCGTAAAGCACTATAATTTATTAGCCAGCTTACAGAAAACACTGCTTCTCAAACATTACGTTAACAGACATTTTATTCAAATAGGTATAAAAATACAGAATTTTCCAGATTTTTTAACCCCAGACCATACGGAATGTAAGAATTCCTGTTAAAACATCAAGTATCTAAACTTGAGGAAATTATAAAACACAAAAAAATATTTATTACTTTTCAATATAAAAAGTAAATGACTAACTATCCAAATTTCCACCATTTTGATCTGCCTCTACAATTGCTATCAAATTTAAATATGCAGGCAATAAAAGAGGACTCGAAACAGATGAATTCTCCCCTTTGAATAAACGTTGATTAGCTGAACATCTGTCCCATGAGGGTCCCAAAGCAACTGCGACTTCACATAAACTCGGTTTATGCAATGAAAACTGAGGTAAATAATTTTGTAAAGAAGCATTATCCAAAACGAAATCATCCTGAAAATAAATTGGGAGAATGAAGCTTAAAAAGGCATAAACAGGACTACTTTTATCAATACAGTAGATGATACCGTTATTTCAAGTAAATTCACGACATCAATTCAAATTTAACCACTGATTTGTTATCTACTACTAAGTTATACCCTGAACTAGTCATATGTATGTACATAATTACGTCAACTACTTCGAAAATGATGAAAGTCAGAGATGATTGGGATGCTCTCACATGGTCAGGGGTATACAGACACTATCAGGTAAGTCTTACTCACTGCCTTCTCGCGGCGGGGGTGTTGTCTACGAAGTTGAGATAAAGAAAGGTGAATGTCCGACGCTTTAACCGGGATGGTGGACACGGAGGGTTTACCTAGGGGCGCTGGAAAGTCCTGATTGCAAACTATTGGAGCACATGGGCTCCAGTAACCTGAGGGAACAAATAGCGTATGAACCAATTGTTGGTCACCGGCTACCACGGGACTGCATTTCCTGACGTTGTTCAACTGCCTTGTGGATCAGACCTTTAGGTCGAAAGCTCCAGGTGTGGCCCGCTAAGAAAACCATATGTCTCGGTCTAGACACCCAGGCAGTATCACAGCCCACACACAAATCGCATGATTTATGTAGCGTATATGTATTCGATGCCCTTTTCTTGCCCATCTAGTTTGTAGTTCCGATGATAAACACGATAAAGTTGCCTTCAAATTATGTCGGACGTTATATATATATATATATATATATATATATATACATGTAGGGCAGCTTGGCAGAAAAGTCAGTCAGTTCGTCAGTCGAACATCATTCAAGCACGCATTACTGCATCGATCCAACTGTTCTCATGAAGTAAGTCACATTGCAAGATGTTTTACGAATGTTTATTTTTTGCTCGAGAGCAACTCCTTATGTGGCTAAGAAAAAGAATAGTCAAAGCTGTTAGCAGTTCAATTCTAGCTCATTGAGTGAAGACGGGTTAAACACCCAAAATAGATCAGTCATTGGCAGTGATACATCGTGTTAATAGTCATCTGCTTAAATTAGTTAGACTAAGAATCCTTCAAAGTAACTAGAGATCCGAAGCTTTGTGTTCAAAAAAACATGTACAACCATTTTCTTTAACTTGGCCATCTTCTAGCTCAATCGGTTAACAGTCGTCCTGACATGAGGACATAGTTTGACTAATTTTCATGCAGCCACGCTTTTTGTATTTCCATAGTTTAAATATGTCTTATTATCATTTCGACGGTTGTAAACATTTGAGAAACTTTAATTAGCACCCATTATTATTTATTATTTCTTACCGAATTCACATTATACCATATATGTTACGCAATCCTCGATTAAACACTTATCCTTATTTGCAATTACATTATTATTTTTTTCGCTCTATGTTATCCATACTTATTCTGACCATTAGTCTCATAATTTCAATGGACCTATGAACAAACTCAGGTTAACATTGCACATCTCGAATTTTATCTGTATTTGTTCTGATGATTCATATCATAATTTCAACTAACTTATAAGTTGATTCATGTAAACACTAAACTCTAGTAATTCTAATATAAGCAATTACAACTTTATTCAGCCAAGAATCTTAGATTTTACAAGCTGTAACTTAAAATGATGTAATTGCCATAAACTTGGCCATTCGCTTTGGAACAGTAATTTGGATTTATAACTGTAGGACCTAATGAGAACTTGTTGAAAAGAATATTGTTTGTTCATGACTGTTTTTATTCATAATTGCAGATGAGAAAATTTGGTGTACTACGCAAAAAATAGAAATTTTTTGGGCGAATACAAACAGAGAAATCAACACACACCGATAGACTTCGTGAAAAATTCAAATATAAAGTGTGAATACTTTATCAATCTAAATATAGTGTTACACAAAAAAAGACAACGATTAAAATAGACGAAACTGAAATGTTTCGGTTTGTAGTTTGTGTGAACACACAACACCCACCGTGATGAAAGTCCACACAACTTTTTAGAGGAAACTGCTTGTGTACATAACTCAAAACGAAACTTTAATTAGTAATAACTTTTCCAAAGTTACCTGAGTGGACGATCTTTAAAGGTGATCCATAAAACACCGGATTCAAATAAAATCATACTGACAAGAGTCAAGCAACTCTAAACAGCTTATTAGTATTACAGATTGAAATCATGAGTCAGTTGAAGCTAGACCATCATGGAAAACCTGGAAGCACTGGACGGCCGTTTCGTCCTAGTATGGGACTCCTGAGCAGTGCGCATCTACGATCCCAGACCCCGCGAGATTCAAACCCAGGACCTATCAGTCTCGCGCCAAGTGTTTAACCAACTAGACCAATGAGCCGGCATCCAATGGTATTAATGTCTAACTTCAATCAATCCACGAAGTTGCGCTACCGTATATCATTGTCTTCAGTGAACTGTGAAATTTCTGAAATCTCCACAAACCCCTCCTGATAATTATCATCTGCTCACTAGTGACTGACTTCAAGAGATACTCCTGGAGTTCTAGTGAGAAGCCGTTACCAGCGGAGTTCAACAAGGTCTGTTCTGAGATAACAACTCACTGAAGACAATGGTGTACGGTGACGCAACTTCGTGGATTGGTTGAAGTTAGACATTAACACTATTGGATGCCGACTCAGTGGTCTAGTTGGTTAAGTGCTCGCGCGCGAAACCAGTAGGTCCTGTGTTCGAATCCCGCGAGGTGCTGGGTCATGGACGCGCACTGCTGAGAAGTCCCATACTAGGACGAAACGGCCGTCCAGTGCTTCCAGGTTTTCCATGATGGTCTAGTTTCAATTGACTCATGATTTCAATCTGTGAAATTTCTAAAATCTCCACAAACCCCATCTGAATATTAGTATGAGTTTATCAAATATGAAAAGAAAAACATCTTGCTGAATGATTTAAATAATACATATATCGAAATAGGACTAAAGCAATTAAGTAAAATTAAACAGAGTTCAAAGATAATTAAATCCAACAGAAAAATGTAACTACTAACCTGGAAATGGCGCATGATTCGAGCACCCATCCAAATGACAAGCTTTTTGCCTTCTCCGTAAAAGGGAGATTCATTAATAGATCCATGATCTAAAATGGATTGACTTGTCCTGCACTTATCACTTAGTTGAGTTAATCGATTAAAACAAAATGCCAGTTCGTCTAACCAAAACACCATTAGTTGACAATATGAACGAACTGAATATTCGACCAATCCTATCAGTCTTAGCAGGAGACGAGAAGGTGGCGTTATAAGGTGAGAAGAATGGGAAGAACAGTTAGCACCTGTATCTTCCTCACTGTCACCAACTGACAGATGAACATCACATGGGTCATCAGCAAGTTCTGTGCCAGGAACTTTCAAGCTCAATGAACTAGCATTACTGCTTCGACTAGTATTCGTGGTATATGTACTGCTTCGACCGCTATCCACATGGGCAAGCTGTGAAGCTAACACAGCAGACTATGAAAATGAAGTTCACAGGATGAAAAAAAATTGCTGAAATAGAAACTAGACATAAGGAATATAGCTTATAGGAAACAAATCAGATCGAATAAAAATTATGAAATGATAGTAAATTGAAGGTTCAGAGGAAGATGACAAATCAGTACAACTGAACCATTGAGACCGATTCTAAGTCGTATTACTTAACTTCTCGAGCCATAAATAATGGATATTTCGTCAGTCCCAACTTGGTCGACCACACATCTTCGTGTGGTTCATATCACTGGGCAATCCGTTTGACTACCTTTACCTCTCCATCGCCTTGTTACTAAGGTAGTTATATAACATGTGCTGACAAGCAAAAATAAGGATTAAACATAAAATATGTACTAATGTCCACTTACAGTGTCTTTATGGACTAACGAACAATAACTAATGAATTTCTCGTCTGTTCTCAACCTACTAATCACAACTCATGTCAGGTGTTTCGTATTATTCGGACCCATGAGATTATGTACATAAAATACAAGACTACAACGCACCATAACGAATGGCTGTTAATGAATAAATTATTAGAACATTTATAGCACAAACGTAAGGGATCGGCTTATGATTCATTGGAAGAGTTGAAAAAGTTTCGATACACTCTCCAAATAATATTACATATTCGCCATATGTTTTGTTATCAAAACGCAACTGAACTAATACATCCAACATGTCAATCAGCTATCGTGACGATCTACTAACACAACTATTCGTTACAGAGTTGATATAAAATAGAAAAAGAACAATTACAAAATAGAAAATGTATTTTATTTTACTGAGAACTTAAGATGAACCCAGGCGGATTCCTGTCTCTCCAAAAAGGTGATAAAGTAAAAAATCAACTAAAAAATTGATTACTTCCATTGATTTTAATGTTAAGGAGCTCCTTTAGCAACTGCGAAATGTCATACAAGGTAATCATGTAGGACATCCAAGATTGACCAAACTGTAATGACTGAAAGTTCAAGAGAACGAACCTGTGTTTACCCTAGACAAACTAGTTTCATTTCAAGATAAACCTTTCTAGTTAACAAAGATGGGGAATTCTTGACATTGAAGGAAAACTTTACTATCCAGTTAGAAGATTATGGTAATGTTACAAATTAGTTAAAAAAATATCTCAAAATGTCCTTAAAAAGAATGACAGACATAGCATATCAAAATATTGACCCAATGGAGCGAAAAACAGCGGAATAGCAATAAGAGTAAAACGAAAGCGCAGAAACTTGTGAAAGGTGTCAACATCAAACGCTAATTAGTGGAAAACAATCAAGATGTGTACAAACCCTATATTTTACGAAAACTAATTTGAAAAAAATTCAATCTAACAAAAATATGCACCTTACACACTCCAAATTAATATTTAATTCCCTATTGTCTACAAGTTTACAGTTTGAATTCCTGCATTTAAGGATACGTTCTCATTTAGTCATCACATACAGCTGTTAAATTTCGACGACAATCCTAAAATCGATTAAAACTACTAGTAACGTCTCCCTTAATAAAAAAGATGATTTATGTACAGCACACCAGTCATACTCAATAAACGGAGTTATAAAAAAACAACAAATTCTTCCAGACCACAAAGAAAAATTCAAACTAATAGTAAAGATGAAGGACTATTCTAACTAATCACAAACATCAAACCTACAAAATTAGTGATTCCGAAGGGAGATTTAGACTTGTTATTCATTACAAAAGATTTCAATCATTATTTAGTTACTTGAGTAAATATAAATATAGAATTATCTGTTGATACCACGAAAATGGAATTACGATCCTTATTTAAATTCATGTGCAGTCCGTATATACTAAAAATCAGAGCATCTGGCATATTTAAAATATCTTTGAATAAACATTTTAGACTGACATAAAATCACAGGAATAGGATTACAAAACAATTAAATCCTAACGATACCAGTTTGAGGAAATCAAAACCTGAGAAAAGTCCAAAGCGTATTTTTGACTGGTAGTTTTTGTGTTTAATAGTTATGATGTCGCAAATTTCCTTAAACAGCATGAAAATGAATCAAGGCTTAGGCTAGAAAAAATATACTCACCCCGAAAATAAGTAGAAGAGAAATCCAAAATAACCGAAATCGTAGGAAAACAAACTTACGTCATCTTCATTCAGTGAAAGACAAGTAGCCGAATCGCGTTCTATGTTTTTCAATGAAGAGTCCCTCTTACAGATTACTTCAATTATTGCAACAGCACCGATTATACCCACACATTTCGAAAATAATGACTGACTTGACAGCAGCTTACGAACAAACAGCAGTAAACTGTCCTGTTGTTCGCGATGTTCTCTGATTCTATTAAGGGACAGAGAGAATTGTAAGGTGAGCATGTATATACATGGAGGTATGAAACTAATTTCGTGCATCTAACAGCTTATAATTAATGAGTGATCTGGCCCTACCTTGTAACTATATCTGGCAATAAAATTGAGTTCAATAACGAGAAATAAAAACCAGCCTATTGTCTACAATTTAGAATATCTACAGACACCTAGGTGGATCCTATGGTGTCGTGGCTCAAAGAACAGATAATGGCGACCGTCTGTTGCAGCTATGCTCAGATAACCGCCTGTTCCTTGTAAATACTAACTTTAAGCATAAGGAAAAACATCTTTTAACATGGCGACCCCCTAATTCGTCCCAACGTTGGACCCAAATAGATCACATCGCTATCAGCCACCGATGGAGGGGCTCGATAGAAGACTGTCGCTCATTCTGGAGCACATGCCTAGATTCAGATCATGCTCTAGTGCGAGCGCGTATTTGCTTGCGTCTTACTGGACGTAGGAAAGATCCTGCAAGGAAACCTCTTAGGGCCCTACTTAATGATAGTCAAGCTAAGAATATATTTCAGGAACAACTAGGAAAACAGTTAGGCAGCCATGTATGTGATGCCCACCCCGAGGCAGCATGGAACGATATCCGAAAAGCTGTGGAAACAGCAGTGATATCTGCTAGTAAGGTAAACCGTAAAGTTAGGGAGCAACACTGGATCTCAGCAGCATCTATCGCACTGATAGATGCTCGAAAACTCCTTCCACCTGGCTCTGAACATAATGAAGAGCGGAGTCAGCTTAAGCGCAAGCTGACAAGAAGTCTACGCAATGATCGCGAACAGTGGTGGGTAGCGAAAGCAAGAGAGATGGAAAAGGCAGCAGCAATAGGTAATAGCAGACAATTGTTTAGACTCGTTAAGGAAACCGGAATTAGGAACCCGACCGTTAGCGAAACAATCTCAGAGAAAGATGGACATTTTATTCATTCTCAATCCAGGAGATTGGATCGATGGGCAGAACACTTTAGGGATCAGTTCAACTGGCCTTCAGCCACACTTCGGTTTCCCACGATCTCCAGTCAACCTGAATGGCAAGTTAATGTAAGTCCTCCGTCCCTTTATGAAGTTGAAAAAGCCATAGGAAATCTGAAACGAGGGAGAGCAGCAGGCCCTGACAGGTTTACTCCTGAGATTTTTAAGGATGGTGGTCCAGTATTAGCAGCAAGATTAACTGAGGTCTTAGGTAGAATTTGGGAACTGGACGTAATCCCATCTGACTGGTCTCAATCACTGATTGTGCCAGTTTTTAAGAAAGGACAAAAGTCCTCTTGTGACAATCACAGAGGAATCGGTTTGACAAATATAGTATCTAAAATATTAGCCTCAATCATACTTCGACGCCTAACTAAAGCTCGTGAAGAGCAGACTAGAGAAAACCAGGCCGGTTTTCGACCTGGACGTGGTTGTATAGATCAGATATTCACACTACGTCAGGTTCTAGAACACAGACACACATTCAGACGCCCCACAATGGTAGTAATTCTCGACCTTAGGGCGGCATTCGACTCCGTTGATCGTGAGGTTCTATGGCAGTGTTTGTCACTGAAAGGAGTACCAAAGAAGTACATTAACCTTGTAAAGGCTCTCTACTCGAACACAACTGGTAGAGTGAGAGCTTATGGCGAACTGTCATCAGAATTGATCACCTCAAGTGGTGTTCGTCAGGGCTGTCCACTCTCCCCATTCTTGTTCAACTTTGTCATTGACGTACTTTTAGAGATAACACTCTCCTCGTCTAGATTTCCAGGGGTTGAACTTCTACCAGGAGGTTCACTTGTTGACTTATAATATGCAGATGACATAGTTTTATTTGGTGAAGACGCTGACAAAATGCAGAGTCTTCTGACCACTCTAAGCAACAATGCAAGCATGTTCGGGATGCGATTCTCTCCCTCGAAATGCAAAATGTTGCTTCAGGATTGGGTTACATCGACACCCGAACTAGTGATAGGGAGTGAAGTAGTTGAGTGTGTCGACCGCTTCACTTATCTTGGAAGTCTCATCAGCCCTTGTGGTTTGGTGTGTGACGAAATCTCAGCACGGATACAGAAGGCTTGACTAGCTTTTGCCAACTTGCGTCATTTATGGCGTAGGCGAGATATCCGTCTATCAACCAAAGGACGTGTTTACTGCGCAGCAGTTCGTTCCGTCCTTCTTTATGGCAGTGAAACATGGCCGGTAAGAGTAGAGGATATCCGTAGGTTACTAGTATTCGATCATAGGTGTCTTCGAAACATTGCTCGTATATCATGGGACCATCGAGTAAGTAACACAGTTGTTAGGAAACGGGTACTAGGTAAAGATGGCAAATCAATTGATGACGTAGTGAAACTTCATCAGTTGAGATGGCTGGGACACGTGTTACGTATGGCCAACGACCGACTGCCTCGACGTGCTATGTTCAGTGGTATAGGAGTAGGTTGGAAGAAAGCTAGGGGCGGCCAAACCAAAACATGGCTCAAGTCCATGAAGTCACTGACAAGTGAACTGAGTCATGTTGGTAGGTGTAGACTACCTGGTTGGGGACCGCGAGATGACAGCAACCGATGGTTAGAGACCCTGAATGACATGGCTCAAAATCGTTCGCAATGGCGCAGGTGCATCCACTCTCTGTGTTCTCCCAAACTCTAATCTTCTGAATTCTTCATGTCCCTTTTTCCCTCTTTGCAAATTTCTTTCACTGGATTATACTCTTTAAATAACATCTCCAAACCCTAATCTTCCCGATTACTGCTTATACTCTTGCTACCTCTACCACTACGGGATTTGAATCGACCACTGCATCTCTGTGCTAATGTGGTGTGGCAACTCGAACTGATGTACGTACGTACGATGTTCTACGTTGTTACTGACTGACTGACTGATATCTACAGAATCAGTGAGTTGAGATGATACTATACTTATATCTACAGGTATCTGCCAAAGCAGTTATTAGTACAATAGAAAGAGCAGGATGACTTGAATTAAATGAAGGTGTTTCGAAATGTCCTCGATCAAGAGAAAGAGACTTCCACTATTGTAATTTCAAGATGTTCCATTGTTATACAATAAATAAGTACTTGGAATGCATCAGATTGATTAATAAGCAACTAAGACCTAGTCATCTTAAATTTCCAGAGGCTTTCAACCGTCTAAATCTGATTTTATTTAAAAACAAAGTGCTGTTAATCTCCCCTTATCCGAGTAACATCACATTTTTGTTATTTGGTAACACCATTTCTCAAGTTGCTACCTCGTCAATGAACTTAGTTTAACTGATTGACCTTAACCCATGAATTATTATTTATGGCTTATTTCAGTCACTCTGCTGTGTAAAATATTATCGTAATTGGTGTTTTAGAACCTTTATTACACAAGATATCTAATTACAATGTATAATCAAATCCTTAATATTTCGAGTGTTTGTTGATTTATAGTGATACATGTTTGCATGAACTTTAAGATAAGTTGTTTAACCGATATACTTAACTATTCCACTTCTTATTTTTAGCTTAAGCACTGATACAGACCAGTCCTGAAGTAATATTTCGCATTTAAAAGGAGGGAAACGCATCCTAAATACGCTATTGTTGTTGTTGCTCAAGGCGATCAAGACTACATTTTGTTAGTCTTCACCATTCATATATTCTAAATCAGTAACCGAACTTTTTGGCAGATTGATCCCTGAAAAGTTGGTTGGAGGACATCGATGACGAATTTAAATACAAATAGGGGTGGTGGATGACCATGGTGAGTGCCACTTGGTTTAGACACTTCTGGTGACAGTTTCCCATGATCAATAATATATGAGTACAGAGCCTTCACAAGGTTTGTGTACTTATTTAGTACGTCTTCCAATCACAAATACTGACACAGAACCTCCCGGACAATATGGAGAATGATTAAGAAGCCTTTTTAGTAGCTTGCAAATATTATTTGTCCCTAAATCCCATAAAGTCCCAAGAGATCTATCAATCCAGGTCAAAAATAACCAAAAGCATCCTAACTATTACAATTATTTTATTTAGGTTTTTGATTCGCCCACTCGACGAAAGTGAACGTTAAAGGTAAAAGCCAGGTGTGTATAGGTAAGACAACCTAGTTGAGTTAGATGATAAATAAAAATTTCCGCTGTAAGTCGCTGATAGATATTTTGAAATGAATAGAAACAAAAAAACGCTAGGAAAAAAATGCAACATTTTAGGAGCAATGTAAATGCTTCAATTAAAATTTAATAAGACATACCCAAATGCCGTATACGCGAGTATAAAAAATATATGTTTTATATGTTTTTTCCGGTGTAAATAGCCCGAGTGGTGTCCGTTAAACACGTTAAAATCTTTCAAATTAGTTTGTTTAGGATCACAACAAGACCCCGTAAAATCAACTTGATTGCGAAGAGCACGTAAATTTGTCTCGAAAACCCCGAATTCTTTAGCATTCGACTGAGCTAGTCGTATCAATGTCACAAGGGTAGCGTCTATGATGCCTTCCAACTTAGGGCGACTAGTATTTCTCACAATTAAGCTACTGATCCCCGTCAACGAATGGTGAACAAGATGACTTATGATTTCCTGTTTTTGTAAATGGTCACTCATGCAGCTAGTGAATGTTTTGATGTATAAAGAGAGGGCAATATACCTGGTTACAAATTTGAAATGAGTAGGAACCAGATCATTTGATGCGATAAGCTGATTTAAAATGAATGTAAATGGTGAAAAAAGACGAGTACTCCCAGAAAATAGTAACTCTCCGTAATTTGTTAGAAATGTGTCTATATCACTATGGATCTTATCATGTGAAAACAACCTTCCAGTAATCAAAAGACGACGTACTGAAGAGAGCACTTCAGTTTTTAAGCGATTAAATTGATATGAGTCAGAAGAACAGAGAGCTTCCATTGAAGAAGTGTTTGAAACCGCATCTAAATTATCTCCACTTTTCTGAACAGTCATTGTTGGAGTACTGAGAGCTATACATAGTATGATAAAATCTTGGAAAGACTGATTGTGAGGTGTGAAACCATTGGTAGTCTGACAGGTTGAGTCCCACGTTTGAGAATCTAAGCCAATTACACGTATCCATCTGAAATAACAAATAGAACAAACCTGACAAAATACGTAACCATCATAGTGAAAACTGAGGAATACCACTTAACATGGAAAATATTTAAAACCACATATCCACTAAAATTTGTTAGCTGGTTTGAAATAGTTAACTCAAGTGCTGAAATTAATATATAATACAGTACTAACCTCTGGAAACGAACAATGATCACTGTGCAGATAGTCAGTCAGCTACAACGTAGGACCAGGCACATATATGCATCGGTTCAAGTTGCCAAACTTCATTAGCACAAGATAAACGCCAAATTCATAGAAACAGTTACTTCAATGGTAGTAAAAAAATCTCATTTAAAAACATGATACAGGGGGAAAGAATTATTTTGTAGAAAAGAAAATATAAAGTAATTTTATTCTCACGGTTTAAGGGAAGACAAAGGGTGTATACGCCTAAGTCGTTGTGATCGATTCCGAGCTATGTCACCCAGTCTCACTGAAAAACTGTCTCGCGTTACCTACAGCCATTGCCTCTCCCATCTCTTTTGTTTTCGTTGCCCACCACTGCTAACGATCGTCCCTTAGACTTTTAGTTAACCTAGACCTGACTTGTTTTCGGTCGTCATCGTATTCGGAGCCTGATGGGATGTTTACGAGAGTCTATCAATGCAATAGATGTAGCAGAAATCCACTGGTTTTTCGTAACTTTAAATCACTAATAGATGTCGCTGCTATTTCCACAGCTGTTCGTATATCTTCCCAAGTAATATATGGGTTAGCCTCGTTTTCGAAATAGCCTAAGTGTGCCTTCAGTTGTTTCTGGAATGTACCTTCGCTAAATTCAACTCTAATCGGTCTTACTGTAGCTTTTCTGCGTCGAGAGGTGCAAGCAAATATGTACTCGTATTACAGCATGATCATAGCCTAAACATGTATTCCAGAACGAGCGACAGTCTTGAATAGAGCCTCTCCAACGATGACTGATGGCAATATGGTATATTTGAGTCCACTGTTGATTTGATACAGAGGGTCACCGTGCTAGACAATGTCTCTCCTTATACTTAAAGTTAAAGCTTATCAGAAATAAACGATCGTCTGAGCACAGTTGTAGCAAACGGTCACCATTATCTATTCGCTGAGCCGGAATACAAAATAACTCATATAAATGTCCTTCTGTTTGGTTTACTTGGGCATTTAAGTCACCTGTTACGAGTACTATGTCTGAGTATTAAGCTTTTTGAAGTTCGGAAAGCTTTCTGTAAAATTCATCTTTCACTGCATCCGAGCTGCAGTTAGTAAGAACGTAGGCAGAAATGACGAAAAGGAAACAGTGTGTATTCCTATCTTTTTGAGTTCTTACTGTCTCGTTTAATCGGACAACACACAGGCGACTGTTTGTTGCAATCCAGTCTAGGAGAGCCTGTTCTGCCTTAAAACTTAATGATACGCCCACATTTGCGAGGCCACAGGAAGTAACAGTGGTGTCTGCAGATACTCGAAGGGTAAATCGTGCCGGTTCTTTATATTGACAAGGTGAGGTCAAATGAATGACTAAACTTGGATTCTGTGTGCGTGTTTCGAAGACGCACGAGATTCTTGAGTCTTAACTAGAAAAGCCTGTTGTCCTATCTGTCACAAGGATCGAACGGTAAGAGCCCCAACATATGGTTTAAAGCGTGATTTCAGGAAACTAGGAATAACATTTCATGAACTCAAATCATTAGCACAAAACTATGAGGTGCCCATAACACAATTCGTATCTAAAATATCCCTAAAACCACAAATAATGGATTACTACATTTATATCTTTGTGGTCTATATATGTTATAAATTATTTACCCTACATTTTGTTGTTTAATTTTCGGAAAATCTACAAACAAAATTTCATACCATCTAGAACTCACTCAGATGCAATATTTTTGTTAAATCGAAATGCAACTCGTAAAAGGTCAACAAGAGTAGAATTTATTACAACTGCTGAATCAACGAAGCCTGATCTAGCAAAAACGAAGAAAGTACGTAAACGCGTTACAAGTTTAGATAACTCAGCTGGTGTCTGTGGAAGAGCTGGTCCACTAATCAAAAGACAACGAGTTATTATACGAAGATACTCAAAATAGTAATCCAGGCCATTACAGCGATCAAGAAGTTGGAAGAAAGCAGAATGTAATCTATCCATCAAGTCTCCTTTCACAGAAAAATCCGTTAAACACTCGATGAGGCAAATGACTGCATTACAATCCTTGGATGAAGTGTGTTGATTTTCAAGAGATACATTATCGAGTAAGTTGATAAGCTGGGAAACAAGCGATGATCTATCTTCATCACTTAATATACACCCTGACGAACAAGGAGAAGATGCCAGATCAGGAAGAATCCCAAGGATTTTGGCTTGTACTCGTGGTTCCTCAGCAATCTGAAACAGATCAGTAAGACGTGAGGATATATCAGAAAATGTTTGTTTGGTGCCGAACAACGCATGAAGACCAATGGGTTGTCGAAATTGCTCAAGAAGATGTTCAGAATATGGCGAATGATTAGCAACTAACTCCAACACGAAGTCCGTCAGAAGAGAGCACAAACATGGTGTAAACAAAAGTATTTGAAATGCTGTTGCTGGAGAGCCAAACAACAGCAAGACGTCATTATCGGGAAGATCAACTTCCGCATTGGGTGTGTCCGTAAGTAAAGGACATAGCAAATTGAAGAACGTAGATAAATTACTTGAAATATCTTCATTTGAAATTGCTGATAGACTGCGTAATTCATCAGTCAGTTTGTGACACAACTGATGCTTAGACTTTAGAAAAGTTTCCAAATAACGGCATCGCTTTTGAGCGGAATAAGCCATAGCCCAAGGTGAAGTAGGATTGGATACATGATTGTTAACGGCTAAGAATGGCATTTTAGTCAGATAAAACTGTCCCGTATTCGGACATCTACTTATCCCAATCTTTTGCAAGATATCTTGTAGTGTTTGAGCTGGGACCACAAAAAAGGGAGTAACCTCCACACTTGTTGATAGCCAACTACTGCCTTCAGGTGCATAGTCGCTTGAAGAATCTTTGTCACAACACCCCAAAGCGTCGGATATTCGTGATAGCATTCAGTCGGAATAAGTGGACCAGTTCAGCCAACAGAAATCTAAGAGGTAAGGAAAAAATATTAGTAATTTCACCCTGAATCAAAACAAAACACATGAGAACCTAACTACAGAGTCTATAACATATATTAAAATTAAATATCAATTGCAAGAACCGACATCTAGTGAATGTTCTAGTCTTACTGTTCAATGATAAAACCTACTTAAACCATACCTAGTCAACTGCCAGTGTCTTCAAGTATGGCTTACATTTCGTGACTTTAAAATCACAAAAACAGAGTGAGCAACTGTAGTTTGTAATGATATTAAACAGTTAACCAATAATCAGACGCTTTTGCTAAATTTTTCAATGAAACCCACAGGACACAGATAACAGCCAAAGTAAAAGGACATTTGAAAGGAATTTACAAAGCCAACTACTGATAAATACTACAAAATGATAACATAATAGAATGTTTGTGAAAATACAGAAGATTGTACTAAAACACTACCCTACCCAGTAAATTCAGAGCAACAAAATGTCTGAAAAGCCTCCACAGCTCGACTGTTCCTAAAGGCTCTTGTTATATGTTTAGATCCAGATTTCCTATGAAATTGATACAATGAAAGTGAGTTGTCCTAAGACGTGCCAAAAATCACCCAAACCTCGCCTGTTAACAGGAGAACACCTTAGTTTTATAACCACCACCACCCGCATGGCACTGCCAAGAATAATAAATCTAGTTTATGTCCTCTCCAGGGAGTGTTCAACGAAGTAAAAGGTCGACGAAAAGCCTTTACAGTCATACTCACAGGAGTAGATGAAAACAAATCTCTGAAAGTTATCCTATCGCAGAACACCAGTATTCTGTAACTAAAATAGTTGCCTCTGTGGTAATGTTATGCTCTTTCTCTTTGAAGACATAAAACTCACTGAGGCCATCAAAAAAAGACCCAGATATAGTGTCTGATGAAATTTGTGGTTTCCTAACTGGCCAAAAAACGGAACCACCCCTACCAACAAACCTTCACAAGCCAGATGACCGACTACTTTTATTACTAAAAAGATTACGACGAAATGCGATTACTTATACGTTAAGGATCACTTTCGTATACAATCAATCATATCGGAGGCACAGAGGGCAGCTACCCGTGCAATTCCGGAACTCCGGGGTTTTTCATACAAAGAGCGGCTTGAAAAACTGGACCTCTTTACTCTGTCCTATCGCAGAATAAGGGGAGATCTAATTTTGATGTACAGAATACTGAGAAATGGTTTCGGACCTAACTTATTCTCTTTCTTTCTTCCCACTAGATCGGGACACCTCAGAGGACAAAGCAGACGAGTAGAAAAGCCAAGAACGAACAAAATACCCGTGGCATACAGGTTTTCACACCGAGTCATCAATACTTGGAATCTGCTGCCTGAAGCAGTGGTGTCCGCACCTTCAACTAACGCTTTCAAGAGAAGACTGGACACTCACAGAAGCATACTAGGAAAGGAATAACATAGGCCGTAGGCCTTCTGTCCTTACTACACAAATCTGAATCTATAAGTGAGGTCCCGTTTTTCTGATCGAGTAGTCAATGACTGGAACGCCTCACGCGAACAAGTGGTATCAGCCACATCAGTGAATATTTTTAAGTTGGATCTTTACTGGAAGGCAATATGTAAGGATTGACACAGGTTTAAAAACCAACTATCCTTATTACTGGGAAATGAAATCGGAAGACCGGGCTTTTATATAACCTGGATGAATGACTCTACTTATTACTGAGTTTCTACAGGAAATCGCACGTGACGAGAACTCTTAGGGTCAAATTTGGCCTTAGGATAACAACATACTGACAAGCCGGAAGAAACTCGTAAGTCATGTATAATCGGCTTGTAGACAGAATGGAAGTGAACTTGAACACTACCTAAATTAGTATTCAGAAATTATTAATCTCCCCCAAGCAACATCTAATGACGAGAGAACGGAACAATACAGAAGGGTGCATAATCAGAAGCTTAGACAGTTCAGTAAATAAAACAAACTTTATACAAGATTTGTAATGTACACATTGTACACAGCTTGAGGTCAACGAGCAAGAAAAACAAATTCAATTTTCAGTCTCCTCTTTGATTTGACGAGGGTGGTCTACGGTAGTCCTATCGAGCGAAGCCTCTGAAATGGTCCGACTTTTTTTGAACCTATCGATAGATGAAATCTTAGTCAAGTGTTGAGGTAAGAAGTTCCTCTCGTTGATGATTCGATGGGAATCCAAATCAATGTGGAGATAGGCCTGACAAGCTTATTTTGTAAATAGTTTTTAATTTTATTTGTATTTGTTTTGTCAATTTTACACTGTATGTACATTTGTCATTAAATGACTGTACGTGTTGTTTAAGCGAATGACGTTGAACACACTTTCCGTTGCTAACAAATATATGGATACACACGTTTCCCTCGTTCTATTTTCGTTTGTGATTGAGCTAACTGAAATCTAAATCAAATATTACCTACATTTATAGACTGTGAGTGGGAATATACCATACCTTACATTGGATTACGCTACTGGAGAGTTCGTCAACCTGATTGGAATTACCAAGCATTTATAATTGTGATATTTCAGTACCATACCAAAGCTGAACACGCATCAATTTGGTGAACTTAAGTAAAGTCCTAATTTTCTATTGTATTAGTAACAATTACTTACTTACTTACTTACTTACACCTGTTACTCCCAATGGAGCATAGGCCGCTGACCAGCATTCTCCAACCCACTCTGTCCTGGGCCTTCTTTTCTAGTTCCATCCAATTCTTGTTCATTTTTCTCATGTCTATCTCCATTTCTCGGCGTAATATGTTCCTTGGTCTTTCTCTTTTCCTTTGACCTTCGGGATTCCATGTGAGGGCTTGTCTTGTGACGCAGTTGGGTGCTTTCCTCAATGTGTGTCCTATCCACTTCCAGCGCTTCTTCCTGATTTCTTCCTCCGCTGGGATCTGGTTTGTTCTCTCCCAAAGTACGTTGTTGCTAATAGTGTCCGGCCAATGGATCTGAAGTATTTTGCGTAGACAACTGTTAATAAACACCTGTATTTTCTGGATGATGGCTTTCGTAGTTCTCCAGGTTTCTGCCCCATACAGTAGAACTGTCTTGACATTTGTATTGAAAATCCTGACCTTGATGTTGGTTGACAGTTGCTTTGAGTTCCAGATGTTCCTCAGTTGTAAATATGCTGCTCTTGCTTTGCCGATCCGCGCCTTCACATCTGCATCAGATCCACTCTGTTCATCAATGATTCTGCCCAAATATGTAAAGGTTTTTACATCTTCCAAATCTTCTCCGTCAATTGTGACTGGATTGGTGCATTCTGTGTTGTATTGGAGAATCTTGCTTTTCCCTTGTGTATATTGAGACCCACTGCTGCTGAGGCTGCTGCCACACTGTTCGTCTTCTCCTGCATCTGTTGTTGCGTTTGGAATAGAAGGGCCAGATCATCTGCGAATCCTAAATCATCCAACTGCATCTTAGACGTCCATTGTATCCCGCGCTTCCCTTCAGACGTTGACGTCTTCATGATCCAGTCGATCACCAGGAGAAAGAGAAAGGGTGAGAGTAAGCAACCTTGCCTAACACCGGTCTTCACTTTGAACGACTTTGTCAGCTGTCATCCATGCACGATTTTGCAGTGTAATCCATCATGAGAGTTCTGTATGATATTGACTATCTTCTGGGGCACGCCGTAGTGTCGAAGAAGTTTCCATAGTGTTTTTCTGTCCACGCTATCAAATGCTTTCTTGCAGTCAATGAAGTTGATGTAGAGTGATGAATTCCACTCATTTGATTGTTCCACAATGATCCGTAGAGTTGCGATTTGGTCTGTACACGATCTATCCTTACGGAATCCTGCCTGTTGGTCATGAATTTGGGGGTGGGTTCAGTGGAGCTGGTCGATTCAAGAGTTCTTTGAAGTGTTCTACCCACCTGTTTTGTTGCTCTTCAATGTTGGTGATTACCTCGCCTTCCTTGCTTTTCACTGGTCGTTCTTGTTTATGGCGATTTTCAGAGAGTGTTTCTGTTGTGTCATACAGTTGTCTCATGTTTCCTTCTCTTGCAGCCTTTCCCGTCGTCATTTCTAAACCATCCACATATTTACGTTTATCGGTTCTGATGCTCCTCTTAACTTGCTTGTTTAATTCTCCGTATTCAGCTTGTGCCATGGTTTTCTCTGCTTTGTTCGGCTGGTATTGATAGCAAACTTCAGGTTCCTCCTTTCTTGTGGCCTATCCAATGTATCAACAGTGATCCATTCCTAGTGATGGTGCTTCTTGTAACCCAGGACCTCATGACATGTTGAAGTGATTGCCTCTTTGATCCCCTTTCAGTTGCTCTCCACAGTAGTTCCTTCTCCATTGAGTAGATCATGAAAGGCCTGGAACTTGTTGCTGAGGACTATCTTGAATTTGTTGAGTTTGTTAGTATCCTGAAGAAAGGCCGTATTGAACTTTTGTGATATTGTCCGCCCCCTTGTCCAGTGTTTCTTGAGTTTCAATTTCATATTGGCGACTAGTAAGTGATGATCTGATGCTATATCAGCTCCTCTCATGGTTCTTTTGTGGCCCGTAGATCTGACTCCAAGATCGTATAAAAGTTTGTTATCGCTTATTCTCGTATATCATCGTCGACTTGAATCGCGTTATCCAATAACGGAATTAAATAAGTCGAATAACGAGAATTGACTTGAGAATACATATATTTCGTACATGAAGCGAATGAAGCATAGCAAAGCAAAAATGACACGTATGGATGATGGCTGGGAAGCCAACTCCATCTTTGTCAAGCCTTACTCAATATTTATAGTCAGACAAAATAAAGCTACAGACATGTGATTAAAAGGATAAGAAATGCACACACATATACGCTCATATAAAAACAGTCTAGATTGATAAGCGAATAAATAACAAGGTCAATGTATTGTTCAACTAAAATGAATAGAATGGGATGTCCGAAAGCTCGAATAAGTTATATGGGCTTGGCATAATAACTGACACTACAGTTCTCATGTCCTCTATAGTCCTCCTGAACGTTTTGTTGATGCAAATATGGTCGATTTGGTTTTGTGTAGAGTGATCCGGTGAAGTCCATGTGGTTTTGTGTATGCGTTTATGTGGGAATATAGTGCCGCCTATGACCAGCTTATTGAAGGCACGTAGATTTGCAAATCTCTCACCATTTCCGTCTCCTTCTCCTGTTCCATGTCGTCCCATGATGTCTTCATATCCGGTGTTCTTCATTCCAACCTTGGTGTTTAGGTCTCCCATCAGAATGGTCAAGTCCTTTGTTGGGCACTTCTCGACTATTGACTGCAGCCTATTGTAGAATTGATCTTTAGCGTCTTCATTGTAGTCGTTGGTAGACGCATAGCATTGGATGATGTTCATTGAAATGCTCTCTTTCCTTGTTCTGAAGGAGGCTTTGATGATCCTTGGTCTATGAGATTCCCATCCTATAAGCGCATTTTGCGCTTGTTTGGACAGCATCAATGCAACTCCTTGTGTATGTGGTGCATTTTCTTCTTCATGGCCGGAGTATAACAGGAGCTCTTCTGTAGTTCGTCGTTGTTGTCCAACTTGTGCCCAATGTGTTTCACTGATCCCAAGCACCTTCAGGTTGTATCTACTCATTTCTGCAGCAATTTGGAAGGCTCTCCCGGTGTCCCACATTGTACGAACATTCCATGTATCTAAATAAATAGTTGCTCTGTTTGTCAGTAGGGACATCGGCCTCGTAACTTCCGAAGGAATTCGGCTTTCATCATGAGGCGTCATAGTTCTTCTAAATGAAGACCTTCTGACTCCCGGGGCAAAGTTTAAAAGGTTTGAATAATTTTTTCTGGTTAGCGTTTTTTTAGCGAGTTAGTTTTCTACGGGATGGGGACGCTAACCCCATGCCCCACTCTCCTCCTTTATCCGGGCTTGGGACCGGCAGTAGCCACCGGAGGGACTCCAGGCGGAGTTTAGTAACAATTAACTTAAATATATTAAAATTAACATTGATCTTTAATAAATTTGTTGATACTTTTTACGTTTATATATCGTGTGGTCCACCACACCAACATTAAAGTTAATGCTCAGATGATAAGTAATTGGGTTTGGCCTTGTGAACGTTTAAGAATTATCCTCATCATCTGTATCCGAAGACATATCGGTTGTAAATTCAACATCAAGCAGGTCGTAGCTGCGCTGAAAATTTCGTATGACGATTGACCTACCGCGATCACTTCAACATGCACGTGCTTTAGCACAGGTAAGACCTACCTCTATGCCGATGACTTAAAAGTCATCTATAAAACTGACATTTGAGATGCAGGTGGTACTTAGCAAGCAATCCAACATGAGCTCAACATGGTAGACGACTGGTGCAAACTCTGGGGGTTTGAGCTCAACACAGAGAATTGAGGCTGGTTATGTAGAGGAGACACGTCTCTTAAAACAAAACTAACACTTAGCAATCACACACTGCTCAGACTGGCGTCAGTAACTTACATAGGGTTACGTTACTCACACATTCTTAATTTCTCTGAACACATCTCAGCCAAAGCATCCAAAATGCGGAAACTGCTTGGCTTCATTATCCATAATTTCAATCAAAATGAATCCAAAATCCGTTATTATAAAGTTTGAGTAAGACCTATCGTTGAATACTGCTCTTTCTCATTTTCCAATCTACGCCTATCTGATATACTAAAGGTGGAAGGAATACAATGAGAATTAACCCACAAAATACTTAAGACTGACTCAGTCACTGACTACATTTCCTGATGCCAAATCTTAGGACTACAACCCTTCTGGGAGAGAAGGCTCAGGTCTAATTTGATTCTCTACTTCAAACTGCTCAAAAACCTTATTTATTCAACATGTAAGATAATTTCTGCCCGAGATTCACACGAATACGAACTTCCAAACAAAGTATCCACGGTCAAGGTTGAGAAAAACAGATCAAAAACTCGAGAAAACTTCTTCCTCACCAACTATGCAATAATATGGAACAGACATCCCTCCGAAATTCGTCTGATAGATGAATTAC